CCTCAATTGCCCAACATCCTCTTCCCCATCGCACTCCCGGGGTGGCCGTTGGGTGCCCTCCACTGCCTTCTAGAACCAGCTCTCCCCCTGCCCTGAGCAGTCACCCACCGGAGAGGCGTGGTATGGCGGACAGAAGTTGGGGTTCTTGCAAGTAAATCATCTCATCTCTCTGAGCGCGAGGGGCAGAAGTGAGCACAGTTCAGGGCGTGAGGTCAGTAAGCGGCAGCCTAAGTGACAGACAGGTACAGTCATGTCTCTGCTGTCATGGTGAGCCTCCCGTGGGGGGGGGGGGTGCGCAGGGCCGGCAGCACAGCTCCCATTTCACAGAAGGAAGCACTGATGACCGACTGAGGCTGCGCCTGCAGCTGGGATGCAGCTCAGGGCCAGGACACAAGGGCCGAACCTCCGTGCTCTGCTAACCCCCTTGTCACAGGCAGGGGTCCTCCAGGGCTGGCTCCCCTCACCCACCCCCTAGGCTATCAGCTGTGATTCAGGAGACATGGGAGGCCAGTGCTGGCCGGAGGCTGCCCCTGGGCATCTGCCCACTTCGTGTGTCCCTGGAGCTTCGGGAGAGGACAGCCCATGAGCACTGGATGCTGCCCCTGCTTCCCCCTCTAGGGGTGCAGACTGCTGGTCTCTGTCGGACCTAGTTTCTGCTGAGCGGTAGCTTAGGGTAAGTGCACAAACCCTAAGCGCTCTGTTGGATGGATCTTAACATGCTTGCACCATTTTAAGTTCTATTGCCTTTCTTCCTCCTGAGGATGGAGTTTGGCATAGGACGAGAGAGGCCTTGACGGCCTGGCTTCTCTGTATCTATCCCCAGTTCTGGGCAGTGTGGTGGGCACATGAGCCTGGGGCTGCGGGGGCCTGTGTGGTCCCTGCTCTCGTGGAGTCTTACCGTGAAAAGGAGGGCATTCAGTGACACCCTGGTGTGGGTGAGCAAACACAGAAACAGACATTGCAAGGGATAGGGACACAGGAGGGGGTTCAGAGGGGCCTGGGGGAGGCAGGCGTATCTTCTGAGGGGATGGCTTGAGTGCAGCCTTGAGTGAGTGAGTAGGGGGGCATGGAGGAGGCTGAAGGTGAAGGAATGACGTTGAAGAGTCACCCATGCCCCTCCCGCTGCTGATGCCCCAGTCCCTGTGACTGGGCCTTTGAGGAGCCCCAGGGCCACCCCTCCGGGTAGAACCCGGAGCAGACCCTGGGTGGATGCTCTCGCTGAGCTCTGCAGGCTCCCTTGGGACCAGGTCTCAGTCTTGCTCCTCTCTCTGGGGTGCGGACATTCTCTTCAGGTCCAGGCACCTGTGAGGGGGACAGGGCCTGCACAGAGCAGTGGCCCTGTGGACAGGAAGCCCCGGGAGCACTCTCGGGGACAGAGAGCGTTCTCAGTCCTCTGGCCAGGACCGACACCCATCTGCTCACCCACAGTTTCGTCTCAGGCTAGAACACAGCGTGCCCAGGGTCAAGCCGGAGGGTGTGTTATGGGCCACGACCAACTGGTTGTGGACTGTGACCCTGGGACTATGGAATGCACTGGAATATGGATTGGTCATGCTTGCCTGGGCCCCTGGAGGGTTTGGCCATGTTGGAGTAGCTTCTGTTGAGATGGGCAGGAGGGTGAGGTGCCGACAGTCCCAGGAGTCCAGTGGAGAGGCAGGCTGGGCCAGACTGGGAAACCAGAGGCTTCCAGGGCTCTGTCCTCCTTCCCAGCTGCCCTTCCCCCACTGCTTCTCATTCACAGTTATCCTTTTGCCTCCAAGGATCCCGAAGATATTAACCCCCTGGAGACAAAGCATCTGGCACATAGTAGGTGCTGGTTCTCCCCTCCCCTCTCATTACGGACTCACCCAACGGTCAGCTCCCTTCTCCGGCCAGCCGGTCATGCGGCCACTTCCTGCTGGTCAGCCCTCAGTGCCCAGCTTCTTGGCTTTTGGTCACACTTGAGGGGTACCCACAGTGGGTGAGGGGGCCTGGAGCTCCGGAAAGGAAGAGGCAGAGTGATGGGGAGCCATCGACTGTCCAGGAGAGAGGGCAGCTCTGAGATTGTGCCACCTTGGAAAGGGAAGTTCTGCCGAATGGCCCCATAACTAAATGGCCCCCAAATCTTTTCTGGGGCCCCTACCATTCACAGGACTCAATGCGGTGGTTGCTGCTACTACTTTGTCTGCCCAGAGAGCCCCCATCCAGCACTGTCCACCCCCGTCCCCACCAGCCTTTGAGCGCCTGTGTCCACACTGGGAAGACGCTCTAAACCTGATGAGCCCCAGGCCTGCAGTTCTCAGGCTTGGTCTTCCCCTACATCATGTCCCCTAGCAGTTATTAGAGAGTTGGGCGAAAGCGTCACTTCCCTAATCTTCTAACAGCATGTGGCAATTTTTTTTTAAAGATTTTATTTATTTAATTTAGAGAGAGAGAGAGAGCAGGGGGAGAGGCAGAGGGAGAGGGAGAGAATCTCAAGCAGACTCCACGCAGAGCACGGAACCCGACATGGGGCTCAATCTCACGATCCTGAGATCGTGACCTGAGGTCGGACGCTTAACTGACTGTGCCGCCCGGGTGCCCCATCATGTGGCAATTTTGCATCATTTCGTTTCTTCCTTAGTGTTCGTGGACAGGCTGGGGCCAGCAGGATCGAGTCCCCTGCCCTTTCTCCTCCAGGAGTCCAAATGTTTCTCTGTGCTCCTAAGATTATTTGTGAAGTACACCTCTCCCTATTGAATCCTATTTTCCTATTGCCTTTATTTTTTTAATTTTTAAAAATTTTATTTTATTTATTATTTATTTTTTATTTTTTATTTTTATTAAGGAGGCTCCACACCCAACATGGAGCCCAATGCGGGGCTTGAACTCACAACCCTGAGATCTGAGCCAAGATCAAGAGTTGGACCCTTAACCCACTGAGCCACCCAGGTGTCCCCCTATTGCCTTTCTTTAGAGTAAAGATGTATTCTCTTGGGGAAGGACTGACCTAACGACATTATTACCTCACATTTGAGTATTTTTATAATTATTACACGGTTTATTCCCACAGATTGCCTGTGGTCATCGACATTTTGAAGGAGCCACAGATTTTACCCACGGTTGTACCAGCACCAAGTGGACTAGCCACAGGAGATCCTAGCCTCCTCCTTCTCGGTCTGGTGCGTCCCCTTCTTAACCTTGACATTCAAGACCGTAACAGTGCCTTTTGGGGGTTGAATTGGAAAAGATGCACTTTGGGGGAAACTTTATAATTATTAGGCCAAGTAAACCACCAAGTACACCTCTAGCATAGTCTCCTGTTCCGTTCAAGATCTTGATGTTGGATCTCCACGAGCTTTACTTAATCTGTGACCGCATTGTCATAGAAATTCTTCTGATGCCTACCTAACTCTGTGCTTGGAATCTTCCAGAGCAGAATGGGCACGTCTTCTTGGTTCCCTTGTGCCTTCCCTGGGGAAGGTGCTCCTGTGGCCAGAAGGGAGGAGGAAAGTGAAAATCTTCCAAGGGGCAGGGAAGGAAGGGCATTCTTGGGACTCCAGAGCTAGTTCAGGACTCCCTCTGGGTGACACTCAGAGTAGCCACAAGCGCTCGTGATGTCACAAGTCAGGGTTGGTTTCCTCTGCTCATGTGGCCTTTCTGTGCAAGCTGAGGGCAACTTGTCAAGGGGAATGTGTGTGTGTGTGTATGTGTGTGCATATTTAGCATCTGAACTCCAGGTGGATCAGGGCAGGAGGGGGTCCTTGTAAGCTTGCTAAGTCCCCACTCTGCCCAGACCTGAGCTGGGACCAGTAGGGGCTGCAGAGGAAGGAAGGTCACAGCCTGGGGACACGTTTCCAAGAGGAAGAACCATTCAGGGGCTCTGAGGTCACTGTTCCAGCTTGGGGGTCTGGGCCTTGAGCTGGGGGCTCATAGAAGGGGAGCTCCCTGGGGCAACCTCACTGTGGGTGCAACCAAGGCTGGAGAAGGACGCTGGCCCTGGCTCCGCCCCACTGGGTGTTCACCCTGACCACAAAGAAACCAGAGGAATTACTGGGCCCAGAAGGAAGGAAGCCAGGCTCTGTGGTCTTGGGGTTGTGATCGAAGGGGGGGCGGGGCGCAGGCCTGCGGCACTGTGGGGAAGCAGGGGTCCCGGCACTGGAAAGACCTCTGGGATCTGTGACACAGCTGGGATGGGTCGGAGGGTGCCTGGGTCCTCAGGGTCTCAGCCCATCATGGTCCCAGAGGTTTTGCTCCCTCGATGTCCTTCATTTTCTGACCAGCTCTAGGAACAGAACCTGAAGATACTGAACCAGGAAGCAGAGCCACAAAGAAAAGCAGAAGTGGAAGACTTGGAGACTTGATCCTCCTTCCTGAAGGGGCCTGAAGCTGCCTGGTGTTGTTGCGGGTGACGTCTGTGCAGGAGGGATGACTGGGCAGGACTGGGTCGTGTGGCTGCCTTGGGCTCTGCTGCTTCTCTGGGGCCCAGGTGAGGGGCTGCCCGGACTGAGTCTTCCCCGGGGAGGGAGGCTAGGGGGGGCAGGGCTGCAGGGGAGGTGGCGGTGGGTCAGCACTCGAGTCTGCGCTCCGCACAGATCTCAGAGCAAGGTGCGCTCTGTCCAGCATGGATGTGGACAGATGGAAGGACTGCACCCTGGAAGGGCCAGGCATGACTCAGGGTCATGCAGCCCACCTTCCCTGAGCCACAGCGGGGTGCCCAGAGGGGCTTTGTGGGAAGTTTCGGATGAATTATTACAGGAAGAAGGAGGAGAAAGCAGGTGGCGGCAGAGTGGAAGAGTGGCTGCTGAGCCTACCGAGGGGAGAGGCCGGTGTCTGGTACAGGGTGTGCGGGAGGGCTGGGGACTGGCGGGAGCAGGCCACGGTGTTGGGGACACAGAGGTGTGTAGCCAGGGCAGCTCTAGGGGCCAGACCCGAGGGCCAGGGGCTCTGTCTCCCCAAGACAGGGAGATGGGGCCAGAGCAGAGGGGAAGGTGGTGGGGATGAAGGGGAGGGCAGAGAAGGCACGGGGAGGGAAGGGAGGAGAGCTTCTCCAGCGAGCAGAGGGCTCCCTGTTTCTGGGGATCCAGCTTCTGTGTCTCTCAGGAGCCCACTGCACACAGGCATGCACAGCCTCATCAGGTCTATCCCTGGGATATTTAAAACCCTTTTGGTTGTTTTGATGATAAATTGCATGTTTTCTCTGGCTCTATTTGCTAACTAGTTGTCCACAGGAAAGCTATTCCTTTTGTGTATTAATGTGGAAGCAGGTCACCCTGGCACGGCTTGTCTGTCCCTTACCCTCTAGGGTGTCCTTGTGTTTCATGAGATCTGTCTGCAGTGGGAGTCTGTGGTTCCTTCGGGATATCTGCTTGTCTCCTTTGTTTCTCTCATCGGCCACAGGCTGGTACAGCCAGAATGATGCCCGGGACGGAGGTGGCAGGGACCATCCCTGCCTTGTTCCTGACGAGGGCAGGTGCGCAGTGTTTCCCATTAAGCGTGAAGAAGGTGTCCGTTTTTGTCTCTTTACAAAGTGGTTTTTATAAACAGTAGCAATGGGTGTTGGATGCTTTTTCATTATCTATGGAGATGACTACTTTTTTCTTCTTTGAACTATTAAGGTGGTGAATTATATCAAGAAATTCGGGCCAGATTTTAGTCTCAATATATCATGCTGCTTTCATGAAGAGAATTAGGGAGGTTTCCCTGCTTCTATATTCTCTACAAATGTTTGTTCCTTGAAGGTTTGAGAAAACCAATTTACAAAACTGGGTTTTACTCTTCTTTTTTTTTTTTTTGAAAGACAACTTTTTTGTTTTGGATTAACCCCCAGCTTTATTGAGGTATAGCTACCAAATAAAAATTGCGCATATTTATGGTGTACAATGTGATGTGTTTTTTTTAAAAGATTTTATTTATTTATTTGAGAGAGAGAATGAGAGACAGAGAGCACGAGAGGGAAGAGGGTCAGAGGGAGAAGCAGACTCCCTGCCGAGCAGGGAGCCCGATGTGGGACTCGATCCCGGGACTCCAGGATCATGACCTGAGCCGAAGGCAGTCGCTTAACCAACCCAGGCGCCCTACAATGTGATGTTTTGATATACGTTGCACCTCACATACTTATCACCGGGAAAGGTCTCCTTGATAACACACATCTTCACTGGTCTACATTAAAAAGAAATATATTCTGGGCTAATACTGGTAATTTGTATTTTCCTAAATATAGAAAATCATTGGTTTCATCTAAGTTTACAGACTTACTGGTAGAGGCTTGCAAATAACCCTGGTTATTTTTCTTATGAATTGTGTATGTGCGTCTCCTCCTGTTTTTCTTGATTTGGCTACCACCAGAATGTTTGTCACTCCCATATAAAAAATCAGTTTTCCAATGTATATGCTAATTCCACTGTTTTTCTGTTTCCTAATTCACTAATTTCTACTCTGACCTTACTCTTTCTTTCTCCCAGGGTGATATGCATGTGTTCCTCTCCTGACTTCCTAAGTTGGAGGATTCATTTGTTCATCTGGGGTTTACTGGGATAAGATTTCATGACCCTGAGCAGCCAGAAAGGAGGCTGGGGTCTGGAGGAAGGGGCTGCTGTGATAAAAAAAAAAAATCTTGGGGGTGACAGCAAAGGAGGGGGGTGACCAATATGAGATGGGGCAACTTTGGGGGGTGATTCCCAGGACGCCCCTGACCCAGGCCCATCTGGTAAGGGACCACACTCGGCTGTGTTTTCCAGGTTGTTCATCTCTAAGTGGCCCCACGTCCGTGACGGGCACCGTGGGGGGATCCCTGAGCGTGCAGTGTCAGTACGAGGAGAAATTCAGAGAGGTTGCCAAATACTGGTGCAAGAGACCATGTTTGTGGAGTACTATAAAGACCAAAGAGGCAGACAGAGAAGTGAGGAGCGGCCGTGTGTCCATCAGGGACCATCCCGCCAACCTCACCTTTACAGTGACCTTGGAGAGCCTCACAGAGGATGATGCAGGAACATACTGGTGTGGGATCGATATACCAGGACTGCCAGGAACTGTGTTCGACCACACCTTCCGTGTTGTGGTGTCTGTGACCCCAGGTGAGCTATGGGCCCCCCTCCCCCAGCGCCAGCACCAGGGCTACCTGCAGGGTCTCAGGTTGGATTGGATGAGGCAGGAATCAAGTCAGAGGCTTGGAACAAACTCTGAGTGTGTGTGTGTGTGTGTGTGTGTAAGGCAGATAGTAGTAGGAAAGAGAGAGTCGGGGAGGCTTCGTGGAGAAGCTGGCCCCTCTGCTCAGCCTTGAGAAGACAGTGTGCAAAGGAGAGAGGGAGAGCCTGGTGCCAGCCCTGCGGACACCCAGAGCCACGCTGTGGGAGGGTGGGAGCTGAGTGGAGAGGCAGGTGGCGCCCGCCTGGTGGTGAAGGTGCTGGGTGCAGCCGGAGCTCCAGCTAGGTGGTCAGATTTGCAGGTTAGACAGAGGTCTCGGGCAGGCAGCCTGTGGCTGTGGCCCGGGGGTGGGGACGAAGCTGGAGTCCAGGGGTGACCTGGGGGCAGGATGGAATCAGGACTGTTGGGGGCGGGCAGTGCCCGTGCTCTGTTCGGAAACGCTCACTTGGCTCAGGAGAGCCCTGGGGAGATTTTGGCCCCCGGGGTCCTCCATCCTGCCCCAACCCTGAGTGAGCATTTTGTGTGAAATCAAACCCCAAAGGTCTTGGCAAGTAGTGGGAGAGTCCGAGAGAGCTATCCTGGGTTTGATTTGTGTTTCCACAGCAGCACAAACATCCGCCCCACCTGTCAGCATCACTGTAACCCAGATGTCGAAAAGCACAGCTAAAATTATGATCATGCCGACCCAGCCCTCCTCCGCTGCCCTGACCACCGTGGGAGCCACCCGCAGAGCAAGCAGCCAGGAGGAATTCCTGCCGAGCCAGGGCCTGGGGTAAGGTGCCCTGTCCCCTGTCCCCCGACCCAGAGGTGGGCCCTCTCTTCGGGAGTTGCTCCAGGGCCGGGGAGAAGCTTCGGTGGGGATGGAAGGAAAGGAACTTCAGCGAGGGCCAGTGATCCTAACAGGCACCTGCTACATGCCCTCTGTGCATGTTCTCATTTCACCAGAACCCGGTCCCATTACTGCCCCCGTGTTCTAGAGGAGCAGACAGGGGGGCTCAGAGAGGTTAAGCGATTCACTGGGTCACATAGCTATGGGAGGCAGGCTGGGCTTCAGCCCAGGTTTATGTGACTCAGAGTCTTGGGTTCTTCCTTCTAAACCTGCAGTTCTTGACCTTTTGGGGCACAAACCCCCAGGAGAATCCCACAGTGTTTATAGACTCTCTCTCCAGAAAAATATGCACAGGTGTAAACCATTTCAGAGGTTCTCAGACTCCTTATCCCAGCACCACCTTGTGTCCTGGGATTCAAACCTGGAACTGACCACCTGGAGTTAGCACAGACCCCGAAGGCAGAGGGCTCAGCCCCAAAAGACTGCCTGACTTCGGATGCCAGAGCACTTTGGGGATCCCTAGGCCATCATGTTTCTGGCCAACTGGTTACGAATTTGGGAGTTCCTATGACCCCCTTGGGTCCTTAATCTGCTAGATAGCTCACCAAATGCAGGAAAACGCTCGCTGTACTGACAAATATGGTTTTATCATAAAGGATAAAGGCCAGGACCAGTCAATGAAAAGACACATAGGGTGAGGTCTGGGAGGGTCAGTCCTGAGAGCAGAGCTTCCCTGCTGACTCCCAGGGGAGTTGGGGCACATCACCCTCCTGGGACATCGATGTGCTCACCAGCCGTGAAGCTCCTGCAAGCTCTGGTGCCCAGAATTCTTAGTGGGGTTCCTTACCATGATTGGTTGAATCACTGGTCATGTGATTGAACTCAATCCCCAGCCCCACTCTGCTCCCTGAATTTCAGGCTGGCTCAGAGCCTCAAGTCTCTATAATCGTGGGGTTGGTCCTTCTGGTGACCAGCCCCAGCCCTGACTCACCTCATCTCTTAGCATAAACTCAGGTGTGATCCAAGGGGTCCTTGAATAACAAAGGCACACCTACTATTAGGGAAATCCCAAGGATTTAGAGCCTTCTTTCCAGAAGCCAGGGGCAAAGGCCAACCAGATTTTTTTTTTGAGTCATCTCTACACCCAACGTGGGGCTCAAACTCACGACCCTGCATCAAGAGTCCCATGCTGTACCTACTGAGCCCGCCAGTCGCCCCCATTCAGATTCTTTATTATATGACACCCCGAAGCCCTTCCACAGGCCTCCTGTCAACCCAAGTGGCAATCTTAACATCAGGCAAGGTGAAATTCAAGCCCCGAACACACTACTTCCAGAACTGACTGCAGATACACACACGGGGCAGAGCTAGGTTCTGTGCAGCTTGGTGTATGTGGGGGACGAGGTGCATCGTTAAGGAAAAGACTAGAATATTATGAAGGCAGACATAAAAGGAGTGCCTAGCCTAGCAAGTGAAGGACCCAAAGTCATCTTCCCATCTGCTGTGGCTTGTTCACAGGAGAAATGACAGAGCTACCAGGCACCCGGGTGGCTCAGTCAGTTGAGCGTCCGACTCTTGATTTCAGCTCAGGTCGTGATCTCAGGGTTGTGGGATTGAGCCCTGTGCCTGGCTCCACACGCAACAAAGAGTCTGCTTGAGATTCTCTCTCTCTCAAAATAAATAAATAAATCTTAAAAAAAAAAGAGAAAGAAATGGCAGAGTTAAAAGGCAGTTTTTTTGCAGCAGTGTTTGTAATTACAAGAGACTGGGGGAAATGCCAATGAAGAGGGAAGAATTCAATAAGTGATGGTCTGTCCATGCCATGGAATGGTAAGCAGCTGTGAAAACGAGTGGGGTCTTCTTCATGCACAGAGATGGAGAGATGTCCACGATGTACTGCTAGGTAGAAATATAGTAGTGTATTTTGCCTCCTTTGTGTGAAAGAAGGAGGAAAATAATGTACATTTATATTTTCTTGTTTCTGAATAAAGAGCCTCTGGAAGTTTCTAAAATACACTGCTTGTGTGTAGAAAGGAGACTGCGCTATCTTTTTTTTTTTTTTTTTGAAATGTGACCTTATCTATCTACTGCAAATAAGGGGGACACTGCAAGCTCCTCGCCTGCTCAATACTGCCCTGTGTCCCCCTCTAGGCTCCAAGTACTCCTCTCCTTGTTGGCACTTCTGCTGCTTCTGCTGGGGGGCAGCTCGCTGCTGGCCCGGAGGATGGTTCGCAGATGGATCAAATGTGAGTCAGTCCCCGGCCAGGTGGGGGGGTGGGCCGGCACACCCTCTCGTTTTCTAGGTTTTGTGTCCTTGTTCCCCAAAATGGGCATCACATGCATACCCTCAGTCTACACATCCTGGCTGACCTTAGAGGCTAGAGCCCAGAGGGGGTGTCCCCGCTATGGTACAGGCTGGGGGGGCTCCCTAGAAGGTTGTCTGTGAAGCCGTCACCCTCTTCTGTTTAAAACCCTTCCATGACATCCTCAAAAGTCCAGGTGTCTCCACAACCAGTCCCGCCCACTCCTTGCCCATCGTTAACACTCTGGACGGCAGCTGATCCCAACTTCCTACAACCTGGCGGGAGCTATGACATCAGTCTCCCCTTCTGCATTTGCACTGGACCCCTGGAGTCCCTTCCTTGCCTTCTTTTGCTGGCTCACTCCTAGTGGGCCTCCTGGCCCTCTGACTTCTTTTCTTCTGGCTCCTTCTGCTGGCTCCCTGAAAGTAACTGGGGGGCCCCTCCTGGCTGCACCTCTGGACATGCACCATCATGCCCTTTTCACTGCAGATTGTCCCCACCTACCTCCTTGCCCATCTCCCCACCAGCCTGGGCTAATCCTCAAGATCAGGGAGTAACTCGAGAAGGCACATAGTCACTATTTGTTAAATTAATGTATTGTTTAATATCTCCAGCCACTAAGGGCACCCCAGATGCTTTGGGCATCCCGGGCCCCACTTGCTCTCCTCTGGGCTCAGATTAAAAGAGAGAACATGTGGGGTGCACCCAGCACCCTGTCCGGCACTCAGTAAGTAGGGGCTCAAGAAACTCAACGAGCCAATTAAATAAAATGAGGCACAGAAGAAGGCAGATGTGACCTTCTTGTTGCTGGCCAGAGGCTGTCACCCGAAGGAGCTCAGATTTCTGCCTGAGTTGGAGTGTGAGCCTTACATTTGCTTCTTGTTCTGAAACTTTTTGACTCTATGAGCAGCCGGTTCTCAGGGGAATCTTTGTCCAGCCTCAGGGGACGAGGGGTGTGTACTCCACAGAGGCAGTGTTCTGGGAGCGGGCGCATGCTCAGGGCGGGAGAGCGGGGAGGGGAGGCCCAGCCACCCTGAGCTCTTGCCTCCCACGGCCCCTCCCCACGGTGGGGGTCAGGCCTTTAGAAGAGAAGTCAGCCCTGACATGTGTGTGCCTGACATAGGGAAGGAAAACCACATCCTCTTCCCCATCTGCTTCTCCCACATCACTTTTGAGGGCCCTCCACCCTCACTCGGGCCCATGCGGTGTGGGCCTCCCCAGGGGGGATTTTCCCAGCCCCGATTGCCTCAGACGTCTCTGCCCTTTCACCTAGAGAACCTCCCTTCTAGAAAAGGGATATAAGATGGTTCAAAAAAATAAGTAAAAGCACAAAGAAGAAATAAATCCCCCATAATAAATAAGAAAGAAAACTCCCACCACTCGGAGAAATACAACCACTGACATATGAGGTGTGTCCTTCTAGCTGCTTTTCTTTTTTTTTTTTAATTAAATTTAATTATTTGAGAGAGAGAGAGAGCATGTGCCCAGGCACATGTCGCAGGAGGGGCAGAGGGAGAAGGAGAGAATCCTCAAGCAGACTCCCTATTGAGCACTGAGCCCAGTACAGGGCTCCATCCCACGACCTTGAGATCATGACCTGAGCCAAAATCAAGAGTCAAACGCTCAACCGACTGAGCCACCTAGGGGCCCCCCAGTTGCTTTTCAATGCTTTTTTTATTTTTTTGCACTTAACCTGTTGTATCATTTTCCCTGCCATGAAATGTTCTAGAAGTCTCTTACTGCAGAGTTTAACGGTGTGTGTGCATGTGTGTGGGGGATTACACCTTGCTTCACTGAACCTCTGTAACAAGAGAAAAGCCTTGTGTTCAAATATCCTGACTCTCCCTCCCCAGCCCTGCGAGTCTCAGCTCCTGTCCCCTCACCGTCCCCTCCCCTCTCCGGCAGACTGATGCCTGCCCCATCACACCCGCTGGCTGGCGGTGTGGCCCCATCAGCCTGTTTGTCATTCACTCGCTCATTCACTCCCTCCCTCCCTCTGTCACGCACACAGCACTGCTGTCCCCCGCGCCGGCTGTGACAGGCTCTGGGCGACACCGTCGTGACCGGGGTAGACGGAGCTCCACCCTCAGCGTGCTTCCTGTCCAGCTGGCTCCCATCCACATTCCTTCCCCGGTGATGTCCGTGCAGCTACACGGTCTTGTGTGGGCATCCCGGGCGGCCCACCCGCTCCTGGGGCTCCCGGTGGCAAGGGCCAGGGGTGCACAGAGCCTGACTCAGCAGCAGGATGCTTGCAGAGCAAACTGCAGGTGCCAGGAGCCCAAGGTTGTGTGCCCTGAGCTGTGATCCCCCCAAGCCACACGGTGTCCTGAGTGTGTGGGACAGCCCCCCCCAGGCCAGGGGACTGGAGCAGATGACCCCCGTGACCTCTCCTGGTTTGAAACAATTCTAGGTCTCCACAGGACGGTTCTTCTTCTTCTTTTTTTTAAATTAGAAAAAATTTTAGGGCTTCCTAAAACACAAACCCATCCCCAGCAATTCTGATTCCGGACGTCTGGGGCAGGGCCTGTGGATCTGCGTTTTTGTTTATTGTGGTAAAAAGCACATACCGTGAAAATTGTCATTGTCACCATTCTTGAGTTTATAGTTCGGTGACGTTAAGTATATTCATGTTTTGGTGAAAGAGATCTCCAGAACTGTTTCATCCTGCCGACAGGTCTTTCTAAAGGGTGTCCTTTACCTGTCTTCTCCCACCCGGGAACATTCTTTGAGTGACTGTTTTGAGAACTAGCTTTGTTTGGCCACCCTCCCCAGGCCAGTGCGCCTTCCTTCCTGCTAGTTTATTTCTCCACGCCTCCACCCCCTCATTCATTCGTCTTTTCCCTCTTCACCAATTCATCCTCTCGGGAAAGCCTCGAACTCCTACCCAGTGGCAGACCTGAAGCAACGGGTCCCTGGGGCCAAATTCTCTAGGGAAATTCCTTCCTCCCGATGGATCATAAGGATCCCCATTCCTGCCTTGTTCTGGGATTCAAACTCCTAACTCTTCTCCTGTCTCTTTAGCTGGTGAGAATCCAGAGCCACTCCAGACCCCTAGTCAGGTAAGACAGGCTGGAGGTGTACCGGGGTGGCTGGCGGGGAGAACAGAGGATGTTGGGGGCTTGAACAACCCCACTGGCCAGTGGAGGTCTGAGTGTATGGTCGATGGATGGAGTGGGGTGCTCGCCCAAAACAGGGAGAGTGATCCCTGGGAGATCTGGTCATTGGGTCTTGTCTTGAGCTCTGGCCAGTCTGTCCCTACCCATACCCCCCATAGAAAGTGGAACGGGGGAGGGCCCTTCGATGCTGACCTGGGGGGCAGTTAAATATTTCCCAGAGAAGACCAGAATGGGGGAGGGAGGAGGCAGGTGGGGTGGCTGGGGCACCCAGGGCATCGAGGGAAGGGGGAGATGTCCGCACACAGGCAGGAACAGAGGCCCCTCTGGGTGGACCGTGGAGGGGCTCCGTGGACACCCACCAAGTCCCCCCATCTCCTGCCCACCTGGGCTACTCAGCAAGGGGAGCCCCACTATGCGAATCTGGAGCTGCAGATGTGGCCCCTTTGGGAAGAGCCTGTGCACCCGAGGCAGGAGGAGGTGGAATACAGCACAGTGGTGAGTGCCAGCGCCTGGCTCCCACACGGGGGTCCTGGGCTCTGCTAGGGGTACCACCCTGGGGGGTGGCAGCAGGCAGAGGGGGAAATGAGGGGCTGGCTTGCTGATCTCGTGTCTCTTCAGCACCGGCCACACAGAACGTAGGGCAAGTGTCGATTCTGCCTGAGCTTGGTGTCACTGTAGCTGGGGGCTGGCACGGGAGATGAAGGGGCTATCAGGGTGGTCAGTGAGAGTCAATAGTCAGTAAAGCATAGCATTTATTAAGGACCTACTGTATACCACATGCCAGTGTGAAAGCCTGAGATTTCCCACTGTTTTGGGTACCATTATCTCTTCTGTATCAACTCTCCTTTTCAGGTTTTGAATCAGTGACCCCCCGTAGGTCAATCCTTAGGCACAGAGACTGTAAAGTGAAACATGGAAGAGGTCCACCCCTCACTGGGGTCAAGACCCACCTGCTAGTGAAAGAGTTCAGGGAGAGGTTGGGGGACTAGTTGTTGGAGAAGATGAGGGGGAGATAAGCATCAGACACATGGGCCTGGGACTAGCAACATTCTTGTTTTCCTAACTTGGTGATTAATGATCTCAAAGTGGATCCTAGGCATTCTCTTCCCCCCCGTACCCCAGCCCCGTGCCCGGGTCTGATGCTTGGGACTTTGTGCTGTGTTTTCACAGGTGGGGTGAAGCAGGGGTGTGGGCAGGACAGTGGGGAAATCTGGACACCCCCACCGTGAAGGCCCCCCGCCCCAAGCCTCCTCCCCCTCGGGGGTCCCCCATCTTCATCCTGAGCTGGGGGCCCGTGCTTCTCCCCCCTCTCCCTGAGCCTCCGTCTCTCTCTCTCTGCAGAAGGCTCCCAGGGAAGAACTTCACTACACGTCCATAGCATTTGACCTCCAGAGTGGGGATTTTAAGGCCAACAGGATTCACTCCCAGAGGACCCTGGAGGAGGAGACACAGTACAGTGTGATTAAGAAGACATAAGCCTGTGTCACCAGCCCCACCATCTGGAGGTCTCTGTGGGCCACAGAAGCCCAGGACCAGCCCCCTCAGCCCTCACCCGTGTCCCCCTCAGCCTGCTCCCCTTAAGGGTCACTAACAAGGAGCTAGGCGCCATCAGCCTGACTGGCTTCGCTGGGGAGGAGTGGGAGTCGGATTCCAATGGGGAGCTGTAGGAACCCTCCATCCCACAGGCTCTTGTCACATCTTTCCTCTCTTCTCTGCTTCCTTCCAGCTGTGTGTGGAGGGCAGGAGCTCAGTCCTGTGTGGCTCAAGGAAAAGACGTGACCCGCGTAGGATGGTACCTGCAAATACCTTTATAAATCACAGCTCCATGGAAGTGTCTGGATCGCTGCAGCGTGGGGACAACCAGCGGAGGGATCGGGAGAACACAAAAGCCCTGAAGATGGAGTCTCCCTTGTCTCATGGACAGTGATGCTGAAGCCCAGAGAGCAGAGGCTTGCCCATGGTTCCAGAACCAGTGGCACATTCCTCTGGACTCTTAGATAACTTGACTTTTAATATTAAGAGATATCAGTACAGTTTAAAATATCTTCGGAGAGAAGAAAAAAGTTATTTAAGCCATGCCTCCTCTGTGCCCACAATCCTATATTAAAGAAAGCTCCTCCCTTTTGAAGGCTGAATAGTAGTCCATTGTGGGATATAACACACTATGCTCATCCTTTCATCCATCGATGGACACTTGGTTGGTTTCTGTGTTTTAGCTATTGTGAATATGTTGCTATGAACATGGTATATAAATATCTCTTTGAAACCCTGCTTTCAATTCTTTTAGATATATACCCAGAAGTGGAATTGCTGAATCATTAAAAAAATCTATTTTTAAGCTTTTGAGGAACTGCCATCCTGTTTTTCCACAGCAGCTGCACCATTTTACATTCCCAACAGCAGTGCACAAGGCTTCCAATTTCCCCACATGCTCTCCAACACTTGTTTTCTGTTTTTGTTTGTTTGTTTTGATAGTAGCCATCCTAATGGATGTGGTATATCATTGTAATTTTGATTGGCATTTCCCCAGCAATGAGCGATGGCGAGCATCTTTTCATGTGCTCGTTGGCCAGCTCTGTGTCTTCTTTGGAAATGTCTATTCAAGTCCTTTGTCCAGTTTTGAAATGAGTTTTTTTGTTGTTGAATTTTAGTTGTCTATTTATTCTGGATAATAATCCCTTATCAGATATATAATTTGAAAATATTTTCTCTCATTCTGTAGATTGCCTTTTTATTCTGTTGATACATCTTTGATGCACAAAACTTTATTTTTTTAAAGATTTTATTTATTTATCTGAGAGAAAGAGGGAGAGCAAGCAAGCACCAGAGTGAGGAGAGGCAGAGGGAAAGGGAGAAGCAGACTCCCCACTGATCAGGGAGCCCAATGCAGGGTTCGATCCCAGGACCCTGGGATCATGACCTAAGCCGAAGGCAGATGCTCAATGGACTGAGCCACCCAGGCACCCCTGATGCACAAAACTTTAATTTTCTTGATGTCCTATTTGTCTATTTTTTCTTTTGTTGCTTTTGCCTTTTGGGTTAGATCCAAAAAATCATTGCTGAAGTCAATGTTGTGAAGCTTTTGCCCTATGTTTCCTTCTATGAGTTTTATAGATTTATGTCCTATATTTAGGTCTTTGATCCATTTTGAGTTTGTTTTTGTATATGCTTTTAGGTAAGGGACCAACTTAATTCTTTTGCATGTAGACATCCAATTTTCCCAACACTGTTTATTGAAAAGATTGTCCTTCCCCACTGAATGGCCTTGACCCCTTTGTGGAAAATCATTTGACCACACTTAGGAGGGTTTATTTCCAGACTCTATTTTACTCCATTGGTCTCTATGCCTGACTTCATGTCAGCATCACTGTGTTTCAGGGTTTTTTTTTTAAGATCTATTTATTTATTTTAGAGAGAGAGTGTGTGTAGGGCAGAGGGAGGGAGGGAGGGAGAGAGAGAGAGAGGGAGAATTTCAGCAGACTCCTTGCTGAGTATGGAGCCCAACATAGGGCTCAATCCTAGGACCCTGAGATCATGACCTGAGTGGAACCCAGAGTCCAATGCTTAACCAATTGAGCCACCCATGTGCCCCAGCATCACTGTCTTTTAATTACTGTGGCTTTGTAGTAAGTTTTGGAACCAGAAATGTGGGTCCTCCAGTTCTTTTTAAAGATCGTTTTCCCTAGTCCCATGAGATCCTACAAGATTCTGTACAAATTTTAGGATGGATTTTTCTATTTCTGCAAAAAATGTCATTGGGATTTTGATAGAGATTGTATTGGATCTGTAGATCACTTTGTGTAGTATTGACATCTTAACAATATTAAGCCTTCCAATCCATGAGCATGAGATGTCTTTTCATTTATTTGTGTCTTTAATTTCTTTCAGCAATGTTTTGTAGTTTTCATGGTACAAGTCTTATACTTCCTTGGTTAAATTAATTCCTAAGTATTTTACTCTTTTTGATTTTATTGTCAATGGATATATTTTCATAATTTCCTTTCCAGATTGTTCATTGTTAATGTATGGAAATGCAACTGATTTTTGTGTGTTGGTTTTGTATCTTGCTACTCACTGAATTCATTTTTTGTTCTAACTTTTTTTTTTTGGTGGAATCTTTAGGGTTTTCTACATGTAAGACCGTATCATCTTCAAACAGAGATAATTTTATTTCTTCCTTTACAATGTGGATGCCTTTTAATTATTTTTCTTGCCTAATTGCTCTGCCAGATCTTCCAATGCTATGTTGAATAGAAAAAGCACAAGGGGGTATCCTTGCCTTGTTCCTGACCTTAGAGGAAAAGCCTTTAGTCTTTCACAGTTGAGCATGATGTGGATTTTTCATACATGGCTTTTACTATGTTGAGGTAGTTTGCTTCTATTCCAAGTTTGTTGAGTGTTTTTGACCATGAAAGAGTGTTGGATTTTGCCAAATGCTTTTTCTGCATCAACTGAAATGATAATTTTTTTTCTTCTTTATTCTATTAATGTAGTGTGTTCCATTGATTAGTTTTTTCCATTGAAACATCTTTGCATCCCAGGAATAAATCCCCCTTGGCCATGGTGTGTAATCCTTTTGCTGTTTTGCTGAACTCAGTTTATTAGTATTTTGTTGAAGATTTTTTTTGCATCAGTGTTCATAAGGGATAGTGGCCTGTAGTTTTCTTTTCTTGCAGTGTTTTGTCTGGCTTTGGTATCAGGATGATACTGGCCTCATACAAGGAGTCTGGAAATGTTGCTTCTTTCTCTGGTTTTTGGAAGAGTATAGGAAAGATTGGTATTCATTTTTCTGTAAATGTTTGCTAGAGTTAATCTGGGAAGCCATCTCTTCAGACTTTCTCCTCCTCCTCCTCCTCTTCTTCTTCTTCAGAGAGAGAGAGCATGTGAGTTGGGGGAGGGAGAGAGGGAGAGGGAGAGAGAGAATCTCAAGCAGACTTTATGCTGAATGCAGAGCCCAACGTGGGGCTCGATCTCACAGCCCTGAGATCATGACCTGAGCCAAAATCAAGAGTCGATAACCAAGTGAGGCACCCAGGAGCCCCAAGACTTTCTTTTTCTTGATTCAGTCTTGCTAGGGTCTAGGAATTTGCCCATTTCACCTACATTACTCACTTTGTTGGTCTACAGCTGTTCACAGCAGTGTCTTGTAAATCTTTCTGATCTTATGGAGTCAGTAGTAATGCTCCCAATTTCATTTCCAATTTGGTAATTTCAGTTTCTTTCTGTTTTTGTTTTGTTTTGTTTTGTTTTGTTTTTTAGTCCATCTAAGTCAAGTTTTGTCAGTTTTGTTGATCTTTTGAAGAAACAAGTTTTGGTCTCACTGATTGTCTCTATTTTTTTTTCCCCCTATTCTCTATCTTGTTTATCTGTGCTCTAATCTTCATTATTCCCTTCCTCCTGGTAGCTTTTGGTTTATTTTGTTCTTCTTTTTTTTAACTCCCTAAATTGTGAAGTTAGGTTTTTTATTTGAGATCTTTCTCATTTTTTAACGTGAGCCTTTACAGCTATAAATCTCCCCCTTAGCACTGCTTTTGTGCATCCCATGTTTAGTATGTTGCATTTTTGTTGTCATTCATCTTTGAGTATTTTCTAATTCCTTCTTTGATCCACTGGTTGTATAAGAGTGTGTTGTTTAGTTTCCACAAATTTGTGAATTTTCTGGTTTTACCTCTGTGATTGATTTCTAACTTCATCCTGTAATGGGTGGAGAAAATTCTTTGTATGATATCTACTTTTAAAAATCTACTGAGATGTAGTTTATGGCCTCACATACGGTTGATCCTAGAAAATGTCCCATGTGTACTGAAGAATGTGAGTGCTGTTGTTGGGTAGGGTGTTCTGTGTATGTCTGTTAGATCTCATTGATTTACTGTGTTGTTCAAGTCTTCCATTTCCTCATTTATCTCCTGTCTGGTTGTTCTATCCATTATTGAGAGTGGGCCATTGACATCTTCAACTATTATCATAGAACTATCTGTTTCTCTCTTCAGTTCTGTCAGGTTTTGCTTCATATATTTTAATGGTCTGTTGTTAGGAACATAAAGATGTATGATTGTTAAATCTTGCTGTCACTACCTATCCAACTTTATGCTGTATGAGAAATAAACCTGAACGTGGTTTAAAACAGAGGGACATGGTGGAAGATAGGATCTAAGACCTAAGGGATTATTTGAAGGACTGTTTCTTCTTTAAATGCAATGGATTAAAAATCTTTATTTAGTCTGAATTTCCACCAGTTAGGAAAAAAATCCTCTGTAAAATGCAAAGTTCTAGGGGCGCTTGGGTGGCTCAGTCGTTAAGCGTCTGCCTTCAGCTCGGGTCATGATCCCAGGGTCCTGGGATCGAGCCCCGCATCGGGCTCCCTGCTCTGCAGGAAGCCTGCTTCTCCCTCTCCCACTCCCCCTGCTTGTGTTCCCTCTCTCGCTGTGTCTCTCTCTGTCAAATAAATAAAATCTTTAAAAAATAAAAAATGCAAAGTTCTAGAGTATAAGCAAGTGTAATTGATGCTGGCTGCTATAACAACTACAACCATGCCAACAAAACTGGTTGGAGTGGCAGTGGGGGCCAGATCAAGAGAGTATTTCTATCATAGCCGCACACTGTTCCCACCCTCTTGCCCCATGAATCTCTAAGGTGGGGGATAAATTTCCCAGTGTAGACTGCCTGTCATGGTGGCTACCCCTTGGGAGTCCTTAAAATCACTTCCCAACAGTGGGTCTCAGCTAGGACCATTCCAATTTTCCAGAGGTCTAAAAGCACAAGGGAGTGTGCTGGCTCTCCATCTTTTTCCCCCAGAAGTCTTGTTGCTTTAATCTACACGAATTTGTCCAGCTCCCATTCAGGAAACTGTACATACCAAAGGACTTTGGGAAAGGCAATCACTGTCAAGTCAGATTTCTTTCTTTTTTTTTTTTTTTAAAGATTTTTCTTTATTTATTTGAGAGAGAGAGAATGAGAAAGAGAGAGCAGAAGAAGGGGGAGGGTCAGAGGGAGAAGCAGACTCCCTGCTGAGCAGGGAGCCCGATGCGGGACTTGATCCTGGGACTCCAGGATCATGACCTGAGCCGAAGGCAGTCGCTTAACCAACTGAGCCACCCAGGCGCCCTCAAGTCAGATTTCTTAAAAGCTCTTTTATAGCCTTCTTCCAGGGCCCCTGGTGGATGTGCATCTTATAATCACATCATGAAGAGTGGCAACCTGGTGACTCTTCCCTGAACAAAGATTCGTTCCAGGGCTATTTGTCACAACCAACATTTTATTTGATTTCATATTTTTAATTTTATTTATTAGAAATTAAGCAATGTATTACATGATTCAGAACTCAAAATTTAAAGGAGAATGGACAGTGAAAATCAGTGTCTTGAATATTCCTATCTCCAGTCATCCAGAGATAATGTTAATATTTCTTATGTTTCTTCCCTGAGATATTTAATAATAGTGTACATCTATACAGTATATATCTTTCTGGGAATGGGTGAGCTGAAGTTTATTCATGCAGTGGAAATTTTATAGCAGTGGAAACAGATGGCTTTCTTTATTTTATTTATTTATTTATTTATTTATTTATTTATTTATTTATTTATTTATTATTTTTAAAAATATTTTATTTATTTATTTGACAGAGAGAGAGAGAGAGAGCACAAGCAGGGGAAGTGGCAGGCAGAGGGAGAAACAGACTTCCCGCTGAGCAGGGAGCCCGATGCAGGACTCGATCCAGGGACTCCAGGATCATGACCTGAGCCAAAAGCAGCCGCTTAACTGACTGAGCCACCCAGGTGCCCCGGCTTCCTTTATTTTACAGAAGAAGAACCACTGGCCAGAGAGGTTTCCTGAAATGAGAAATACCAAGAAGAGGGGTAATAGAAAGTCTGATTCTTGCATCCAGGACTTGTGGATCTTAGTGTTTTAAAAATCTTTATTTTGAAACAATTTCAAACTTACAGAAAAAATATGAAAACAATGCCAAAAAGTCCTATATATCCTTTACCTAAACTCACTTTTTTTTTTTTTAAGATTTTATTTACTTACTTGAGAGAGAAGAAGAGGGAGAGAGCACAAGTAGGGGGAACAGCAGAGGGAGAGGGAGAGACAAGCTCCCCGCCGAGCAGGGAGCCCAATGCAGGGTTCCAACCCAGGACCCTGAGAGCCTGACCTGAGCCAAAGGCAGGTGCTTAACTGACTGAGCCACCGAGGAGCCCCCCCACTTTTAAAGATTTTATTTCAGATTCACCTATTTTAAAAAACATTTTGCCACATTTGTTTTCTTAATCTGTATAAACACATTTTTATATGTTTATCTGTATAAATATAATTTTTTCCAGAACCTTCTGTGAGTAGGTTACTTACGTGACTTTCATTGGAGTAAGCCTGGGACACCCAGGTGCTGTCTTGCTGTGTGTCCCGTGGTGTCAGATGGCGTCCTCC